TGGGCTGAGCCGAGCCGAGCGGGCCGCGCTCTCCAGGCTGTTCCGGCCTCTGCCGTGTGCTCCGTGGCGCGTGTAACAGCTTTCTGGCTGTGGGTTGCTGTTTATTAACAGTCGGTGTTTCTGGTGTTTTAGCAAAAGGACAGAAAATCTAAAAAGTCCACCTGGAAGTTCTGCCTCGATTTGACCCACCCTGTGGAAGATGGAATCTTTGATTCTGGGAACTTTGTAAGTTGTGGTTTTCCTCATGCTTGTGGTGCACAGTGTAACGAAAGCTTTAGTGTAGTACAATAACTGAATTGCAAATGAAAGATTGCATTTTAAACTAGTAAAGTCAACAGCTGGTCTTTAAGTGAGCAGCACTTTTATAGACAAGACGGTTCATACCTATCCACGAATAGAACTGATTTTAAATTTAACCCTGTTTTAGCACAGGGGTGATTTTTCTTTATTATATGCTGCAAAATCTTACTGCATTGTACAATACTTGCTGTCAGGACGTCAGCAGACAATGATTTTTAACGTTGCTACACGGCTAGGGTCCCTTCCCTAGTTCATACCTAGGGTGCCATTCCCTAGTGTTCTGTCTCTTTCATGTTGAAACAGGAACAGTTCCTAAAGGAGAAGGTTAAGGTCAATGGGAAAACTGGAAACTTGGGCAACACTGTTCACATTGAACGTCTGAAGAACAAGATCACAGTGACATCTGAGAAGCAGTTTTCTAAAAGGTGGGCGTGGGTTTCCTTGTGTTGTACCTGAACAGTCGTGTCTTGAACGTGATGCCCTTCTGATACGTACAGAGAAGCTGTTAGTGCTGAACTTTCATAGAATCATAGAATGGTTTGGGTTGGAAGGGACCTTAAAGCTCATCCAGTTCCAACCCCCCTGCCAGCAGCAGGGACACCTTCCACTAGACCAGGTTGCTCAAAGCCTCATCCAACCTGGCCTTCAACACTTCCAGGGAGGAGCAGCCACAGCTTCTCTGGGCAACCTGGGACAGTGTCTGACCACCCTCACAGTGAAGAACTTCTTCCTAATATCTAGTAGCTAGAACAAGTCCAGAGGAGGCCACCAGGATGATCTGAGGGCTGGAGCACCTCTCCTATGAGGACAGGCTGAGAGAGTTGGGGCTGTTCAGCCTGGAGAAGAGAAGGCTCTGGGGAGATCTTACAGCGGCCTCCCAGTACCTGAAGGGGCTACAAGAAAGCTGGGGAGGGACTTTTCATAAGGGCAGTTAGTGACAGAACAAGGGGAAATGGGTTTAAGCTGAAAGAGGGGAGGTTAGTGAAAGATGTAATTCAAATTTATAGTATTAGATATTTAAAAAACAGCTTTTTAAAACACAGGATGTGATTGCAAACTATTGCTGCTTCTTGTATAAACAGTAATAAAGAGATGCTTTGAACAGTCATCCTGAATTGACGTCATGGGTGGCTGTTTAATTACTTGATTGGTTGTATTAAAATGCGTGTGTGTGCAGTATGTGTTTGTAAGAGAACCCCTTGAGTCAAATGAAGCCTTAAGCTGCTTTACTGTGTCAGGGCACGTTTGCCAGAGCAGGTGAGTACGCTGATAAAGGTGGGGTTCCTTCCCTGCATCCCCCTGTTCATTGTCCAAATACAGATGCACCATTATCTATTGTGTTAGACCAGAGTTCAGAACCACTTCTCAGTGCTTCTGAGTTACTGGTGTTGTGCTACGTAGTGAAAAAGCATCAGATAATAAATCTCCATCTACCTGGAATGAAAATACACTTCATTACCTATTTTATATGATAATCTTTTAATTTCTGGATATAAACGTGCTGTTGTCCTGCTAGGGTTATGTCTTGGCAGAGTGCAGACAGCAGCGTGAGTTGTCAAATGAGAAGGTTCTAACCTATCATGACTGTTTTTAAGGTACCTAAAATACCTCACAAAGAAATACCTCAAGAAGAACAACCTGCGCGACTGGCTCCGCGTCGTTGCCTCTGACAAGGAGACGTACGAGCTGCGCTACTTCCAGATCAGCCAAGATGAGGAAGGATCCGAGTCTGAGGAGTAACTGAAGCTTTAGCTTTGTACTGAAGACAGCATACAAAAGACTAGAACATCTATTTATGAGAACACTTTTAACTTATTGGTGAATAAAGATTTTGTACCCTGTTGGACAGAGCATGCTTCACTTTCTAGCCTTTTTCTTAAATTCTCCTTAAAAACCATCGTAGGGAATCGTTTGATCTGCGGTTTTCCTTCCATTGAGCTGCTCAACGTGGCATCAGTGGAGAGGCCAAGTAGAAAACTAAGCCCTTTGCCCAGTACATACATAGGACAGTTACATCAGTGTTTAATTCCATTTTTCAAATAATGCTGGAGCTTTTTGTGACTGAAAGTGCCAACTCTTTTTGCTCATTTATATAATGAGCTAATGATATTTAATAAGTTTACTTTTTTAGTTAAAAAACAGGTTTACGTACTTTAAAGGAAAGATTTTATTTCTGTGTGATTTATCTAAATCATTAATTGGTTGTAATATTCCTGTGCATAACAACAAGTCAAACTGCAGAATAACAATTAAAAGAGTTGAGTTAGATTGGCAAGTAAGGAGGTAAACAAATCTCGCTGCCAGCATCCAGCTCAAACGGCTTAAAGGGAGCAGTGAGCTGTGCTGTGGTGGTGACAGCAACTGAATCCCACTAAATCCTCACATATTTCTGCTTTTATGATGATGTGCTTTATGGTTCTTGTATTTGACTTCTGAGATTACTTCTTTACTACAATTGGTGGGTTCTTAATTGAAACACTAATCACCCCAGATCCTATAAATTACTGCTTTTGTTCATGTAATATCAAGAGAAATTTGCTTAGTTTCACTAGGAACAAGTGGTATTTGTGAGCTTGCTGTTGAAGTCGCTATTGCACGCGTATGTGTTGCAGAACCATTGTCTGTCAGGCTGGTGGTGTGCTTGCTCTCTCTGTGATTAATTAGAATATTTACTCAGGCTCCAGTGCAAGGGTGAACTCTGGGATTATTAATGCCATATTTGTTTTAATATCATAAAACAGGGATAAATGCAGGCTGTGATCTTGACCTTTGTGCTTGAACAAATCTGCTAGTTCAGGCTGGAGTGTGTCTACTAAATTGTTTAATTTCCTGATTAGGTTTTTCTTAAAAAAATTATTTCAGCATTATTTTTGCTGTCAAACCTCTGAGGCTATTAAGAGAGTTGCCAAACACAAAGTAAGGTGTTAAAAGTTGCCTGACACCCCCTTGTGCTACCTAAATCTAAATGAAAAGCACAGAAGGGGATCTGAACGTTCTCGGTGGCCTTGGGGTCTCATTTTTCAATATGCTTGAGCATCCCAGGGAGCTGAGAACATGCAGCAGCAGCAGCACCACAGCTACATGTGTCCTCTCTGCCTTGTTGGTTTGTTTCAGAGCTAGCAGGAGGAAGGGAGCAGTGTGTGGAGCTGGCTGCAAGGCTGAGAATTTTCTCCCTCATGTATGTTGAGTTTTATAGGCTTCAGTGGAAATAAAATGTCTGAAGCCCTGCCCACAGATCTAGGGCACTGGGTAATGCCCAAGGGATTTCCTATTTGGGAAAAAATCAGGTGGATTTTGAAGCAACAAGTGAAGGTGGCTGGGTTCTTACTTTTCTGGAAATCCAAAAGCTTGCTAATGCTTTCTTAAAGTAATTACAGAGTGGATAATTAATACCATATTGAACAAGCAACGTGTTTTTCACAGTACAGCTGCAAATGTTTGAAAAACCTCTGGTCTGTTCTCTTTGCTGTCCTAAATTAAGCAAAGGGCTAACAGTTATATTTCAAATTACATCCCTGCCTGTTTTTTTTAGAGCCACTCTTTTCCTGTGACAATCTGTCTTTTAGGCTAGACTGGCACAACCAAACTGTTGTGATTAAATGGAACAAGCACAGTCGCCGTCACAGCTAATGGCATCAAGCTGCCTTGTGTTCCCCTTAAAGCAGGCTGGCAGCCTGGCAGATACAGATTGTCATTAGTCAAAAAAATAGGAAAACAAGGCCTGGGATTTCAAGCAAAGCAGCTTATTTCATAGCTGGGTTTGGAGGAAAACTGCCAAAGTGCTTGTGTGAGCTGTACTACACACTGAGCTCCACTGATGGAGTGTAAGAATTCCCTTCCCTGATGGTTGAAAACACGGTGAACACTGAAAACAATAAAATCCCAAGTTTCTTATGACAATAATAAGTGCAGCTCTAGAGTGCTTAATGCATTTAGGCAAATTGTGCTTCCTCTTTAGATAGCAGACAGGCATTTTTGTTTTATCCTGACCCAAGTTCTGGTGCCCAGAGCCTCCTGTGCAGCCAGGAGCTGTAGCAGCTCAGAGGAATCAGTCAAGGTCCGTATATGTGTGTTATGCGTAGAGACCAGAGAGTGGGGTTTAAATTTAAATTGAGTGTGTCCAATTGCTGATGGTTAAAGTTTAGTGGAGAAAAATACAGCTGGAGTTACACAGCTGACCTTAGGCAAAGCTTCAGAAAAATGGTAACTTTCATCATTTCATGTATTTCACAGCTGAAGATGTCAGGTGTCATGCAGGTGGCAGGCAGGAAACAGCCTGTTACTGTTCACATAAGGTAATTCATACAAATTAGCCAGATTAGAATTGAAGTGAGGTTGGTTCTGGGTTGTTTTGGTTTTTTTTAATAGCCAGAGGTCAGTGTTTCTCTGACACTTGGTGGGGTCTAACTCAGACAGCAGCTCTGCTGTGCCAGGATTTGCCAGGTACCTTGATCAGGGCACCTCACACACCAATTATTATTTTTTTTCCCCCTGACTAGAATCTGCCATAAAATAACCAGTTTTGTTCATCTTTGTTTTGAAAGTTAAAAGAACCCGAACAGCTTGAAAACGGACAGGATTGACTGTTGGAATTTTCCATATTTAGTGCTGGACAAGAGCCCAGACAAGCCATGCTCGAGAGAGGGACAGGCTCTCTGTGGAGATGCTGAGACATGTAAACTGCTGGGAAAAATAATCATAGAATCATGGAATGGTTTGGGTTGGAAGGGACCTTAAAGCTCATCCAGTTCCAACCCCCCTGCCAGCAGCAGGGACACCTTCCACTAGACCAGGTTGCTCAAAGCCTCATCCAGCCTGGCCTTAAACACTTCCAGGGAGGGGGCATCCACAACTTCCTTGGGCAACCTGTTCCAGTGTCTGACCACCCTCACAGTGAAGAACTTCTTCCTAATATCTCATCTAAACCTCCCCTCTTCCAGTTTAAAGCCATTTCCCCTTGTTTTGTCATTAACTGCCCTTATGAAAAGTCCCTCCCCAGCTTTCTTGTAGCCCCTTCAGGTACTGGGAGGCCGCTATAAGATCTCCCCGGAGCCTTCTCTTCTCCAGCCTGAACAGCCCCAATTCTTTCAGCCTGTCTTCATAGGAGAGGTGCTCCAGCCCTCGAAGCACCTCACCTATGAAGACAGGCTGAAATGCACCCATGGCATGAAAAATAATGCACCCATGGCATGAAAATTCCACAGGTGACCAGGGCTGCTGCCAAGTTTGGTCCTCGTAGCTCCACAGTAACATGCTCCGGTCTTGGACAATGCTCAGGGTGCTTGAGGATTTCCAGAAGGGATAAACACAAAATCCAGCAGCAGTGAGAGTTTTGGGAGCAGCGCTTTGCCACCACCCAGCTGAGAGCCTGGGTTCATCAAGCCAGAAGTTTAATTTGGGAAGAGGATTAATCTCTGCAAAGCACCAGTTGCACTGGTGGTGCAGCAGATGGGCAGGGCCAGCGCCTGTGAGCTCAGGGCTCAGGAGGGCAAAGGCACCATAACTCTTACAAGACTTTAATAGAACCCAAATTAGATTTTATTTTATATATATATGTCTATATATACATATATTCTCCTGCCTTTCCTTTTTCAATAAATATTCTCCCTTTCATTTCTCCAAACAATATTTTTGCTGCTCTCTTCCAAATAAAATCAGTTGATCAGAGACCTCCCACACATGGAAAATTTCAATATATGGCAGAAAAAAAAAAGAGATTTACAAGCACAAGAGCTACACGGCTGTTGCCAGAGCAGCAGTAGCAGCACCATAGAAGCTATTTATGTGTGAGCATACAGAGATATTATTTTTCTGCATCACCAGTCTCTGTCATCTACTGCAGCAAAACTCTCCCTGATTTCCATTAAAAAAAACCAAAACACCACAAAACCCACAGGATTTCACCAATCATCACCACCACCAGTAAAAGTTACTCGTGTGTCCATATGCTTTTTGTTCACTTTTCCTTCTGGCCTGAAGCCCCATCAGAAAAACAGCTTTATCATACACCCAAAAGTAGGAAGAACAGGAATAAAAAGGTAAATAATAGCAGGAATAACTGAAAAAAATATGTCGAAGCACTAACACATACACTAGACCCAGCATGTGGCAGGTATTAAAGAGGCACAGACTCCACATATTCACGTAACATCAGCACAAAGTCATTAGAAACAAGAGAGGCCCACGGAAAAATAAATACTCAATAATAGCTCCAACGTACCCAACAGCAGGAAATGAGCTTCAGCGCTGGGAGTCACCTAATTACACCAAATATAGACAAAAATAAGGAAAAATTGTTTCTTTTTAAAGACAAAAACAAACCAGCAGATCAGGAGGGATGGAATGTCTTCTTGCCCTCCCGGTGTCATGGGCATCCATTGCCTTTGGAGGCCTCTTCCACCTGCCCACTGTCGTTATTAATTCTCACAGCACGTGCTTCCCACTTAGGGTAATAAAATATGGTTTATTTTATATGGGTATGTTTGATATTGAAAGTAGAGTCTTTGTCCCATGGACTTTAATAGCTGTGTGAGACAAAGTGTCCTGGCACGATCCCAATCCCATGAGCCGGGGGCTGTGATTCCCTTTAGTAGGTTAAGACTTTATTCCCGCTGATGCTGGTCACAGGATCCCAGAATTGCCTCGATTGGAAAAACCCTTTAAGCTCATTGTGTCCAACCATGAACCCAACACTGACAAGTCCCCAACTAACCCATGTCCCTCAGCACTATGTCTACACGACTCTTCAATCCCTCCAGGGATGGGGACTCCACCACTGCCCTGGGCAACCCCTTCCAATGCCTCAGAACCCGTTCAGCAAAGAAATTCTTCCTCCCATCCCATCTCAACTG